CAGTCAGTAGCAACTTGAAGGCAATTTGCAACTGAGGTGCTGAGAGCAAAGTACAAAAGTCTCCCCCTCACCTTATGATGCAGCCAGACTGCAGTAGCAAAAATGGCACCCCCACTGTGTACAAAAAAGAGAGAAAGAAAAGGGGAGAAAAAGACATATTTGGTCTTTGCATGCCATTGGTTCTTGCTAAAGAGAAGAGGAAAATTGTCAACACTTGTCAATTTCAATCCAGTTTGTTTGGGCTACTGAGTTGAATCCAGTTTGTTTGGGCTACTGAGGGGAGGCCACAAAGCTGTCAAGCTATCATTCCACTTACAGGATCAGCAACTCAGGAGAGAGGAGAAAGAGTGAGAAAGAAGTTCCCTCCAAAGGGGAAATGGTGGCCCACCCCCAAAAAACCTGTCTAACTTGGGAATAGTTTCCACTATAGTGTCCTGAGCCAAAAATCAATTAAGCCAATTTTCCAACTTTGCTAATAACACAGGTTAAGAGTGCCTTTCTAGGTGGGGTGCTGTCTCCATGTGCAAGTAACCTAGGCCATCTGAATGTAGGTGGAAATGCTTCTACTTCTACTGCAACTGGAGGGGAGAATTGTGGACAAAGAGAAGATCTGCTGAAAATACACAGTGACTCTATAGGAAGAGGAAGGCATGGAATCAGGTCTAAGATGCAAGGGAATAAACAGCAAGATGAAATCAAGGACCAAGAGCCATAGAGAGGGATCCACGAACTGAGTATGCTCTAAAGATATTCATTATTGAGTTTCTTCAACCACCTTGATTTAGAAGATCCTTCCTGCTGGAGAATTAATCTGGGATGTTCTGTAGGCAGAGGATGGCTCAATTAAAAAATAAAATCCCACTAAGCTATGGTTAATCGAGTAAGCCTTAGTTGTTTGGAATTATACAATATGCTGAGCCATCAACCATGATTGCCAACTAAAATGGCTGGGTTCATCTGGTACGTTAAGTCCAAACCAAAGACATCACAGTATGATTCAATGTGCTGTGTGAACCCAGCCCGTGGGAAGAAATAGGTGAATTCATACCCTGTGCTATCTCATAATGAAGTCTGTTTGGTTTTGATTTAGTATGATGTGTGAAACCAACCACTGTGGTTTTTAAACTAACATTTATGGCTTAAAGCTGTGTGAGAACCAGGCATTTTTGTGAGAGCTTCCACATGTTCTTAAAATCCCAAACCTGACTATTGGCTCTAAAAGGTGACTTGTCCACCTTTTACTCTTTAGGATTTAAAATCTGGATTTCTCTCAGATCTTTGTGAATTAAACTCAGACTTTCAGGTCTACGCTCTTGAGTTGTAAGTCCTTTCCTGAATATTGTTTTGCCTTCAGTCACAAGTGCTTTTCCTCTAGACTCACCCCATCTTTCTTCTGAAAGTCAGCTTACTAATCGAGAGTAAGTCACATAAAACATTGTCAATGATTTGATGCCAGGACCAATAACAGAAGATGCTTCCATTAAACAATAATTGACACATGAAGAATGGTTGTGTCTTTTCAGGTAGCATTACGAATGCCATTAAGTAGCATCCAGATTATAGGAAGAAAAGCTTGCAGAAACAAAAGCCCAACCTAGATGTTTTACCAACTAGTAGACTTGCCCTTTGATTGGCATCAAGCCTGACAGAATTGTTTAAAGCAGTTAAAAGGGACAATATAGATCGAATAGTTCCTTCCCTATCCTCTCCTTTATGCAAAAAAGGGTTAAGAGAAGAACAGCCTTTAGATTTCAAAATCCCACAACATTCTGGAGGTTCACCACCAGAACTGAGATGGGGGTAGAAAACAATTCCTCAGCACATAAAGATTAGGCTACAAATCCCACAGGGTCTCATATGGGTTCTACAAGGGTGACTGGAAGCCTCCAAAAATGTGCATTGCTTCGAGCACATTTATTTGATCAACTGCTGCACGGTAGCTGTGGGAGAAGGGGGAAGCTGAGTCAGAGGGCCATCCCTCACTGCTGTGTTGTGGTTCCACCCAGCCTTGAGTACCAGGAAGTCCCATCGTGAATTACTCTCCTCCCTCTGTCCCCTCTGTTCTTAGTCGTTCCCAATCATCTAACTTCCCTCCAAGGTCATGGGTGTCAAAGCCTAACACATTGTACACATCTTTATACATTTACACATGGCAAAAACCACTGAGGCTTATCTGTATGAATGAAAGAAACCCCCAACCTTCTTCACTTTAATCAGGAAAGAACCCTTTATTTCATTAGTTTTCACATTATAATTCAGCATACATTAATCTTCAGCTGACCAGGAAATGTTTAAGGGAAACAGCCCTTGAAGGTTACTGCTACGTATTATCTATCTATCTATCTATCTATCTATCTATCTATCTATCTATCCATCCATCCATCCATCCATCCATCATCTACCTACCTACCTACCTACCTACCTACCTACCTACACTATCCATCCATCCATCCATCCATCCATCCATCCATCCATCCATCCATCCATC